GTGTGTGTGTGTGTGTGTGGCCTGTCGGGAACAATACACACACTTGCATCATCACCTTTCCTCGGGTAGACGGCATAATCTGGCTCGTGAAAAGTGACTCGTAATGAAAGCTGAGGACTTTCCCTCCTGGCTCTGTGTTGACACCCACAACAACAAAACCCGGATTTACGTTGGTTTCCGTGGTCACCATACTGTGAGCTCTTTATGGCTCTATCAGTTTCTATAAACAATGTTGTAAAGATCACATGCCAGCTGCCCGCCACCTCTCACCTTCCGTCAACAAAAGTTTCGCGAATTTGTAGAATATCCATCTCCGAGTCGTGTGTGTGTGTGTGTGTGCGCGCGGGGGACTGTTGTTGACTATCTGAGTGAAAGTGGGTGTTCAGTCCGTCTCATAGCAGGTGTTTGGTACCTCTACACAGGTGTATATATCTCGTAATATCTAATTGCTGATGTCTAGTTACTTCACTCATATACGATGACTAATGTATTTAGTTATGTAGAATACGTGCTTAAAGGCCTTAGTGTTATCGAAGTGCAGTATTGCATTATAACATCCACCATCGAGGAGCACTGTTGTCCTTACGGTGAACGGAAATAAACTCACAGGGAAAAAAGTCACAGAAAAAAAAGTCACATTTCATTTAAATGTCATTAAGTTAAAGTAATAAAACAAAAAATATATTAAGTCACTTATTAACTGACAATACATAACTTGTACGCATTGACAACACAATTTATACATGATTGTATTACACCCAATTTACACGTAGTTTAATTTAGTTTAGTTTATAGTTTAGTTTTTTCTGTGACATTTTTCCTGGATTCGGCCTCACACTGTGGTTGCAATTTTTATACTGGAGGGGATGACACAGTGAAGTAGTATATATTTTCAGGGTAAAGGGAAGCTTCTGGCTGTGTGTAGGTACACTTTTTACTATATAAACAAGTTAGTTTTCTCTTTCCAAAAAGTGTCGTTTGACGTAAAAAATACGTCTGACTGCTTTTCGGCACTAGAGGAACTTCTTTTCAATTTACTCTAATTTGGTGATATAGACAATCATGTTTATTGCATGCTCAAATGACCTTACACAGAGAATCTTAAAAAACAAAATTTTAAGTATTTGGGATATGTTCATAATGTTCATTGAGGGAGTGAACAATTCTTTAAGGATACCCGGTGCCTGCGGTCATGCCCACAACTTTTCTCTACAGTTGTAGCGTGCTGAAACAAATTACCTGACCACATTACATTCAATAATGTTATTTAACAATTCAAAGCTAAAATTAAAGGACTTAACAGCAAGAAAAGAGTATCTCTATTATTAACCACAGAATGTTGTATTGTTGAAGTGATGCTTCTTATATTTATAAAATAAAACTCACTTTTTCCCTTATAGATATACTGGAAATTATTAGTAACCAAACTAAAGCAAAGGACCCTACTAGAAATAAGTAGCTGGTGGCTTTGTCGGCTAACCTTGGTCAAATTGCCTAACTGTTTATTGTTGTTGCATACCCTCACTCAGTATACATTGGAACCTATACACTTCCACGATCTATGTGGTCCAACGTATGCACTGCGGACACTAGCACTGCTTTCGACAATGATATATTATAGATTCAATACAAAAATATCACTCAAGGTAGTCACTCGTGTAATATTTACGTTTTCTATGGTGTTATGTCACAAAAAATGATCAGTTCTTTAAAGGCTTAACTCGTATATACTGTTTTGCACTCTTATAAGTCTGTGTATGTAGCCTTAGGGTTAGTTCACACCAAGGCCGTAACAAACATCTCCTGACGCAATTTGTCAGAATGAGTAAGTCAAGTTAACAACATAAATCGCACACTATATTCGAATCACGTCTAACTTAAATCTTTCAAATTTTATCCTAGAGGGAAGACAGTTTCCCTCTCCCTAGAAAGACAGCAAGTCATGTAACAGGTATTAGCTAAGCTGAGAAAATCATAATACTCACCACAGCGTTGCATATCGTCTGTCTCCGGACAATTCGAGTCAGAATATGTCCGTTCCGGCCTCAATATGAACTCATTGCGTTATATTGTGAATAGTATAACGATGTCTGGGGGTAATTTTGTTTACGTCTGTCTGAGAATAATAAACATAACCACCTCATTTGACAGACACGTATACACAAATTTAAGGATCAGAGAATTTCGTAGATGTATTGTGTGTTAAGTGTCGAGGCTAGCCCATGAACTGTGAGAAGTGAAGTTATCAGTAAAGTGAGAATTTTCCTACGGAACAGATCAGTGTTATTCTGTATTATATCAGAGTACTCGGCGTACTTAGAGTTTGATATACATAATGATATATTGTAGTAATATGCTGCTTGTCAGTACAAAGTCCAGTAAAAGCATTTGTTTAGGTCACTTTATGATAGGAGCCAGGTTTCGATTTTTCCATTAAAAATACGTTTTTCTTGGTTCTTGTTGTGATTCGAACGAATGTGACCTTCGCTTCTGGTGCTAACCGTCCGTTTTCGAGTTTGATAGCTTCCTGCTCCTTGGGCGAACAATGTGCACATAAGGTAGATTTTTTTATCTTCTCATATTGGCCACTTATAAGTAGAAATTGAACGAGTCACGAGAAGGCTGATTCATCTCCTCAAATCGCTGTGATTGGTCAATGCAAAGCGAGTCGTCGCTAATTGGCTACCGCCTTCCCACAATGCTAGACATTAAACAAATTACGAAGAGCCCCGCGTTTTCCATAATGCATCATTCGCCTCAGTTCATTGTTTACCTATTGCAGAGAGCAGAGCTCTTAGGGGGGGATGACGTGGTTTTTAACTTGCTCACCTCCGTTATTTCTCGTCAGCGAAGAAAGTGTCATAGAAAAAATGTCTTTTGGTAATATTGTAGTTAACAGCAACCACAGAATTCCAGAAATTCACTACACTCAATCGATAGAGCTATTTTTTCTATGATCATTTTCTTATATTACACTTCCGTCGCAAATTGAAAATAAGAAGTTATTTAATTATAAGAGGAGTAAAATCAGATCACCTGTTGCAACATGGAGCCATTCTAGTCCCTGACCTGGAGTAAGGTAAGAAATACCGTGACGGCTATTTATATTCTCGTGGAGGCTGACCACGCGACTGTAAGGTTATTGCATAGCGTTTGGGGGTCTGGGGACAAGGCTCTCGGCTAGGGTCACCGGGGGTTAGGTAAGGTTTAGTTTGGTTATATGGTAGAAGTTAGCAAGCACAGAGTACCGGGAATTCAGAACACGTAACCGATAGAACTATTATGAGGGAGGGGGGCAAAATTCAAAACGAGTCGTTTCCGATAAAAAACGAATGTCAGATTTGAACAAATCACATCAAAATCCATTATCTTTTTTTTTCTTTGGGGGGTGGGGTTGGAGAGGGAGGGGTTGCTCTAAGCCCTCCCAGAATGTTTTTGAAATCGGACCAGTATCATGGGCATTTTGAAACCCCCCCTGAGTGCCCACCAATACCACTCAGCACGATCAGCAGAACCAGTCAACTTAAACTTCAAGCAGTACAAAACAAAGCAACTCCCCCATACACCACCAAAATACTGGAACTTCACGAAATGGACAATATCGAACCACTGAACACACAGCTAAGCTCAGAGTTGAGCAAACTTGAAGGACCCAATCTTCTCCCATTTAAAAGAAGAAACCTCAAGAGCACACAGCTGGTGGTCCAAGAGCCTCCGTCGTAACATAGAAGAGCAAGACCCACTGTAAACATATGTGAACAAATAACTCCACCGTTTAGAAAACAAATTATCACATATTACACGAAATTTATTGGCAAAGCTTGGAGTACAGTTTGACTTCCGAGGTCTTGACACTGGGGGTGGTATCACTTCTCACTGCCGCGCAGGACAGTGGTTCATATACAATACAAGTCATTCTATTTGGAGACTTAGTCAGTGTGGGCTAGCAAATTTTGGATATACAGCAAAAATGTCCTCTAGCACTACCGATTCACTGAAGTAATTACAAAGTTCATGATACAATAAACCAGGTGGCCTGAAGTCTTTGACAGGGTCACATTCAATAATATAGTGTTCAAGAGTATACTTTAAAAGTTTCACAAAATCTTACGAGTACATGCCGAGTGTTCCGGTATGGGCACAGCGTCACTAACATGCCAGATGTGTCTATCCTAGCCCAATTCTGACCACGACTACATCACACGGTTTGGTTCTGTCCTGAAGCTGGCCATACCAGTACCTCGTCACAAAAAAAAATCGGATTTACCAATGCTACAACTACCAGGTCTCTGCATTTCTCGTTATTCTAGATCAGAGTTCACGATTCCGACTTTTACAGCATTGAACAGGTCAAGGTCCCGGTCCACATTGTCTTTCTTGCAGGACTTATTGGCCAGTATCAGCAGTCATGATACCCAATTCCAATATGGGACGGAATCCACACAAATTCAATGCAAAAGTTCTCATTGGCAGTCATCACATTGGTATTAATATCAGACAACTTTTGACAGCCTGACTATCTGTTCATCGATTTCAAAGCACTTTGGGAGTGGGTGGAAACCGTATTGGAATTTTTCTGATGAAAAGGGGGTCCGGACCACCCATGGTAATGCTTTATGTAGTTTGTGCACACTTAGTATTGCACGAAAAAGATAGGAACCCTAAAATCACATCCCGAATAGTATTAATGGACAGTCTCGAACCTTTCAGTGCACAGATGGAAATCCGGTGGTCTCCATGATGAAAGTTCACAATTGGTTTGACATGCATATAAACAAGGTTTACTAGTCAGCATGAACAGTTATTCACTCAAACCTTTAACAGTGACCCTGGTCTCCCCGAGCAATGTGGCAAGGCTGTACAAGATTGCCAGAAGACCTTGTCAAAAATTTTAAGGTTATTTAACAGAAAAATGTGTCTTACAGAATTTAATTGGGCAAAGTCCTAAAAAAAATTCCTTGAAAAACTTCTAGAACCTTTGGGTCAATAATGGACAAACTTATTTTGGCACATTTTTATTAATCTCGCCAAGTAGTTCCACAACTACTGGACTCGTCAGCAACAAGGACCGAGACCCGTCGTATAGTAGTCGTTCTGGAAAAAAGAAAATCACAAATTTAAGGCCTTACAAGATCATAAGCCTGTCCATGCCGAAAATTAGTGAACAAGACCTATTGAAAATGTAGTCTTTGCCACAAATTTGCCAAGACAAAGATGAACTTGACCAGTTTCGTCGAAGAAGTCCAATCCTTTAGTTTTTACGGTAGATAAAATACGGAAATCTTTCCTTGTGTGCATCACACGTGTCGACATGCACGCCAGGGATACCAAACAACTGTACATAAAGCTCAACTAAAATATTCTTTACAATACCTGGTCTAAGTAAGGCGTTTACATACATCCGCTACCAGACAAAATTAAAATAAATTTGATAATCTTGCCAAAACCACATTCAAGTAAAATATAAATTCAGATGTTAAAACTAAATAAATAACTATCACCAAAACCCAACATGCATTCAGGAGGTTTAAGTATTTAGAGTTCTGGGACAACAGTTATGTAGACCATGTTCCTACAAGATTCAGAGTTACCGGCCAAGGTCACGGCCTGCTAAGTGGGTCAGGGAGGAAAGGGTGTTCACGAGGACAAAATACCTGTACTAACGTCAGAGTCGGTGTGGAAGATCATGGAGTGTAGGCGCTAGAACCTGTGATGGAAAATTTATAATTAAAGTAAACAAAGCAGTTTTTAAAGTCTATCAGTATAAAAGTTAGAGAAATAAATTTGTGAAGACTTAAAAAAATTCTGGACATGTGAATTATACATTACCAAAAATATTACAACAGTAAACATGGTATTTGGGTTATACTTGACACTTACCAAAAGTCCTGAGATATATGGCTTTCTCAACCTTGAGGACCCACTTAATCTTGGTTAGGAGTTTATAAATGGAGTCTGGGTTACCTCCGTTCTGAAGCTCCAAACACAGGTCGAAGGCGCACGTGTCTACAATATAATTATGGACTAACTATATAACCTTCTACCACAAAGTTTAAATACATGTGGACTAATAAAAAGTACCTATTTATTTAGCATTTCACATTCATCAAGGGGTAAAATTTAAACAGTTAAGGAGTATCAAGCTCCATAATGTCTTTAGTTAAAAATAAAAAATTAAATCCAAGTGCACGATTCACCTAAGAATTTACTATTAAACCAACTTTCAACTATTCCGGTACCAAAGTGTTTAACTCTACCCAAGTTTTCCCAGCCGATCAATAACCCCTTCGATAAAATAACTTGTTAGCTTTGTGGAATACTGTACAGTACACGAGAAAAAGTGTGGGATGATGGGAGGGGGGACTAGTTCCGGGGAGGAGGGGGGACTAGTTCCGGGAGGAGGAGGGGACTAGTTCCGGGAGGAGGGGGGACTAGGGTAGGAGGGCGGACTAGTTCCGGGAGGAGGGGGGGACTAGTTCCGGGGAGGAGGGGCGGACTAGTTCCGGGAGGAGGGGCGGGACTAGTTCCGGGGAGGAGGGGCGGGACTAGTTCCGGGGGAGGAGGGCGGGACTAGTTCCGGGGAGGAGGGCGGGACTAGTTCCGGGGAGGGGCGGGCGGGACTAGTTCCGGGGAGGGGGGGCGGGACTAGTTCCGGGGAGGGGGGGCGTGGTCTTACCGATATATGATTGAAGATCTTCAGCCTTTCCAATGATGGGTTGGAGTTCAGCGGTGCAGTTAGTGGTGTAGGGGACCATGGAGGAAGCACTGGCGTAACAAGGACTGGTCTGCAACACGTTAGTTACAAGTTTAGGTAAATTTAGTTAAAAAAAAATTCATAATCTTTGAATATAATATGCAACGCATTTTTTAGACATACATTTGCATTACTAAAAGGTTTAACTATGCTAGTTGTCCTAAATAATTCTGTTAAATAAAATCCCCTAAGCAGACATTCCACAAATACCTACACCTATTTAAGGCGTAATTATGCTTTAAAGATTATAGAAAACATTTAAAAGTCAATTAAAACTGCTAGATTATCCAAGCTGAAAAGTTCAAAAAATCTTAAACAAGTATGACCCGTCGTTGCAAGCAGATCAAAAGTAAACTAAGCGCATCACTCACTGTCGTCTCCCCCGAGCACGTGAGGTGAGGCTCCGGACACCTGTACAGGCACTTCCGATCCAACTGTTCAGAGGTCTGGAAGAAAAAAATATTACGAGTATTTATACTGGGTACGATTTCCAAAGCCATTTTTTCCTCAGGTTATAAAAGGCTTCACAAAATATCATCAGTGAAGATTAAACATTCAAGATTTTATGCCCAATAAATTATATCCCATGGTTAAACACACACCGGAGATGCTAGTGCGCTGTAATCACGAAAGTTACCGTAAGTCACATACCAGCCAGGACAGGGGGAAGGCGAGGGGCCAGTAGTGGAGCGCGTGGATCTCTCCGTCTCTGTTAGTGAAGTCGTCCCGCTGGTAGAAGTTAAAGTGGCCACACAGCCCGTCCAGGTGGTTCGTGTGGTTGGGGTGAGCCCATACATCCAGCCGATACCGACAGTGCATCACCTGCAAGATGATACAATCGACAGTTCAAGATTGCAGGAATGCACAGAATAATTCAAAAAATTTATGCAGGTTTCGTAATCTTTCAAGCACCTATTGGAAACTTCTAGTTCAGTTTCTTTTGTAAAGTAAAAAGATCCAAAATATTCAAGGGTAAAATAGACAAGGTTCTCTCTAATGATTCAGATGCACAGTCTTCAAAACTGGAGAGGGCGAGGCTACTAATGTCATTGATTAAGTAATTACATGATCAGCTAGGTGAATAATAACACCCCTAATCACACGATATAAATTTGTCAAGTTTATAAATAATTTATCATACTTACGACAATTCCGGAGGAGCTAATAAGGACAATACAGCCCGTTGACCTGAAGACGAGCACGGGGTGCTGGGTGCCGTCTGCCGTGATCAAGTGGCGTACACCCAACAGAGGTACGTGGAAGGGCTGCCCGTTCACCTCCAACTAGTGAAGGATATTTAACACTAAAATATACAAATTCTACCAATATGTTCACTTAATTATTTACGAGAGTGCACGTAGACTATTCATAATTATCATTATGAACCAGTTTATAAAAATTTTTCCAGATAGAAGAACTACACAACATTATTAAACTTAAATGACAAGTACAGTTTATACTATATTTGCTTCTTACAACATAAGCAGACAAGGTATATAGTGTAGCAATAAGTAACTCACGTCGAACTCCGCTGAATTTTTTAGTGTGATAATGGTGTGAGGGTTCACCCTGTAGGTGGTGTGAGCGAGGCAAGAGGCTTCACCAACACAAGGCACGAAGTCGGAGAAGATGCCTATATATGGGTCTAGGGTGGTGTCAGACTGAGCAATCGAGTAGTTGCAGCGGCCGTGCCAGTCGTACTGATACCCGTCGAACGTTCTGATGTGGGGGTCATTGTACAGGGTACAGTGTTTGCCTGTGAGGGGAACAAGTGTGATTAAGGATGTAAAGACTAAATTGTTCACCTAAAAATAAAGGGAAAGCCAAGGAACACTTACAACAGCGGTCAATAGTGCCAGGGTGCGACCATCTGCCCTTTTTACAGATCATCTTGAAGCACATTAGCTCCAGTTCTGCCCCATTAGGATACAGAATCCCGTCAAACTCGCAACAGCTCTTTGTATCCCCTTCTAGATAAACACGGACGATCTCCCCGTATTGACACACCAGGTTTACACAGATCTCGGGCAGGGAGACAAACACCTCCCCGTGGGGCACCTTCCTCTTGCCGTAGCAGCAAGGCTCCGGTTTTGGTGTTACGGCAGTGTAGTTACTGGTGCTGGCTAGAATGCCAAACATCGGGAGAAAGAGGAGGGAGAGAGACTTGCATCCTAAGCCGGTCATCCTCTGCTGCTACCTGGTGTAAAAGACAAAACCCAGTAAGTACTTTTGAAAATACTTTATTTTGAAGTTTTTACCCAAATACCAATTTGAAAACATTTAAATTCTACAAGCAGCACTTCCAGGTGATGTTACATTACCCGTGTGATTGCATGAAAGGACACCAATGTAAACTGTGGATAATGGAACAGTATGCAGGCCAGACGCAAGCCATATGGTAGGCGTCACAATTCATGCCTTAGGACAAATAATCAAAACTCTACGTAAATATGAACTGACCAAAGTATGCACGACATCAAGTATTACACGGCACATCAAGTCCAAATTAGCCAAAGGTACGGCCAGTAAGTCCTAACAAGACGAGAAAAATTTTATTTAGTCGATTAACAAGAGAATAAATAACGTACGAAGTACCTGAATTGAGTTACTTCGGGCCAATTATAAAAGGCAAGAGATTCTTTAGGCCAAAACCTTAACTAGTTTTGTTATACGGAATATTGGTAATGTCTGAGAACAGCATTACCACCAGAAGTTGTTCGATTTCGTTTTTTCCTCAGGTGTTATGGGAAGTATTTGAGGTTCACATTTACTAGAACCTGACCTAACCACCCCCCCGCTATATTAAACTAAGTACTTATTTTGATAACTGGTACCAATGAAAGCAACTTGAAGGATCATGGTGTAACTTTACATTTAGTGAACCTTCAGAGTATGCTCGGGCCGAGCGGGTTCCTGGTTGTAAACAGACAAGCGGAGACTAGATTTTTCGCTAGAGTATTTACGGTAAATTTCTTTCAAAGAACGTACTGTAGAGACTCATTTTAGAGAAACTAAATAAAATACAAAAATATAATTAAAACAAAAATTTGTCGCCTCTTAAAATACTTTAATATTGATAAGAACGTCTACAGTATGGAAAAAATGAACGAAATCAAAACTTCCGGTGGTAGTGGCGTGCTCAGAAATTACCGCAATATTTATTTTTCCTACAAAAATTTCATAGTCTGGCCAGTAGACGTTGACAGAATACGGCGGCATAAAAAAAACATTACACGAGTATAGTATTTTTGTATTTTCACTTCTAATTGGTTAAAGGAATTGGGGGAAGAGTTGTTTAACCCAAAAACGTATCTTCCGACAGAAATGAATGTCAAATTCGAACGACTCCCAAATACTATAGGAAAAACCAAGATACCAGGTCAAAAGACAATTGGTAGTGAAACTGCAATTTTGCCGAAAGAATTAGTTGGGATAAACGGTTCCTCAAAAAACTATTACAAAAGTATCAGTTGCAAGTGGCAATATTTCTAAAGTTCTTAAATACTAATAATGATTCATTGTAGTACTTACACAGAACAAGTGTTTAACGCCACACACTCACTGTAGTTATTAGGTTATAAACTAAAGCATCAACGGACTACGCACACAGCAAACAGCCTTCCGGTAATTTAAGAATTTTTACTTGTGACCAGCAAAAAATTAATCACAGTTCTGCTCAACCAACTTGCCGTCTCGTTTACAAGAGAAGCAATAGCTAGGCCTCGATATTGTTGAAATCACTTTAGGAACGGTCTGCTTATTGGTTCAAATGCTTAAGGCGCCGAGATTACTTTTTTCCCTTTACACCCAACGGTGAAGTTCAATACCGGATGATGGTGAAAAGTTAAAAAAAAATAATCCGTGCAGCAGATTTAACAATTAAACGCTTTAATACAATATAAACCCAATACACCAACAAACGAGAACCAGTTAAAGGTTTAATACACAGAACAAGGCACTTAAAGTCTCCTTCGCCGTTATTATTACCAACACATGTTTCCATAACTAAATACAAGGAAGTAATGATGTTTTAGTTTGACATCCGGGGAATATTAAGATTTTTAGGATTGGAATCTAGTTTACGCAATTCCAAGACACTTTTCGGTTAATATTCGGTTAATGGATACGGCAAGATTTTCGTCTTTGTGTTCTCTAATGGGTCAAGTTTGGTTAGGTTAGGTTTCAATGATTTGAAGTTGGAGATTAGTTTTTTTTTGTTTTTGGTTTTTTAGGTATTCAATAAAAAAAAATAAAGAAGTGAATTAGCCCATAAAATTAAGGTCGAATTTGAGTAACACCCAAATACACCAAAAATATAAACTAATTTCATAACAAAAGGAGCCACAGCCATTAAACGAATATTTACCCACTGTTCTAAGACGGTTTCTCTCCCAAATGACCTGAGCAAATTTGAGACTCATGACCGTCAGCGGTCCTGTAATTAGGTTTGTTTTTTGAGAGTTTTGCACGTAAATCACCTTTAGTTCTATTTAAATATAGCCATTTTAACATAATACAGTACCCCCTAATAAAACAAGTGAAAACTGGACTCAAGATCTGAATAATTACCAAGGGTGACATTTTAGTTCTATACAACCATGGAATCTCGGATTTTTAAAGCATGCAATCGATATATCTCATGCTGACTAACTTTAATTCTATACACTTCGTGACGCAAGTGAATAATTATGAACCTAACAGAACCTGACCTAACCAACCTAAGAAGCCTACCTAACCACACTTAACTTCCTAGACGGGGGATAACTCACGCTTACATTAAAGAGAAAATACTTATTTTGATATCCGGTACCAATGAAAGTAGCTTTATTGAAGCGTCATGGTGTAATTGTACGTTACCCGACATTAACAAGGCAAGAGTCATTGAAGAAAAGCAATTGAATTATTAGACCTAAAGATTGCAAATGCCAAAATCCCCGAAAAAAATGATTGTACACAACTAAAATAATACCTTACCATGACCTGATCTGACCTAACTTCCTAACGGAGCCCCCCCCCCAGTTGCAAGGGCAACGTCATAGAAGAGAGGTGTCAAAACAAACAGAATTGTCTAAACAAACGATTCCAATAGTTAAATTACCGAGATGACCGAAACTAAAATATAATCGAAGTAATGGTTGGCATCTTTCAAGTGTACCATAGTTAAAACAAGTCTAGTGTACACATCCAAATCCACAGCATTTAAGTACGCATATACAGTAATACTTGACCGAAACAGAAAATAATACGGACTCAATATACATTATTTCATCTAAAATACAAACACCAACATCCCAATGTGAAAAAAATACATAGCACTAACACGTACCTTAGTCACCAGCTCACGTTGGCGTCCATTAACACACAGACCTATTTTACCCATGTCTTCCGACGTGTCAACTCCTCTTGGTCAGTGATTGGCTGAAGTTCGTACCAAGACGGCTTACGATTGGCTGGATCTAGCACAACTTCAGGAGCACGTTAAAGAGATAATTAAACACTATTCTGCTTTACAGGAAATTTTCCATAAAAAAACTATTATAATGAGGGACAATTCAACAGATTAGTTTTGCTCTATATAATAAATAGAGAGAAGGTCATACACCCACATCGCCTTGATGTATCGCCACCTGCTGCAAATATTACAAATAATATAATGCCAAAGATCCATCGAAGTAATATTAATACGAAGCTCTCAGTGCAGTATTTGGTTTATATTAATGTCTTAACCTTGCCCCACAACATAGAATTGTCTATTTCATTTCACAAACACAGTTTATTATATAAAAAATCAGAACAATGCTGAATTGGCGAGATATTGTTGTAAGAGCCAGTTAGTGGTTACACCTCCGTTCAGGTATTTATATCTCTGGTAACGGAGCTTAACTACTACAACAAAAACTAATAAAACACCAAATGAAATATATAATAAAAACATGACCCACAAGGCAGAGAAATAATATAAGCTTAGTACTAATTACTTCCACCAGATGGCCACACAGGAAAATTTGCATACTAGTTCACGTATATATAGTGTACAGTAAGAATACAAATAATGGTAAACAGTAAATTGATTTAGCCAAGATAACTTTTGGTAGGGTCTGAGAGTATCTGAGGCCTTTTTAACTCATTTTCGTGCGTCCGTCTGTCCGTCCCTGTGTTCGTCCATCCGTCCGTGCGTCCGTCTGTCCGTCCCTGTGTTCGTCCATCCGTCCGTGCGTCCGTCTGTCCGTCCCTGTGTTCGTCCATCCGTCCGTGCGTCCGTCTGTCCGTCCCTGTGTTCGTCCATCCGTCCGTGCGTCCGTCTGTCCGTCCCTGTGTTCGTCCATCCGTCCGTCTGTCCGTCCCTGTGTTCGTCCATCCGTCCGTCCGTGCGTCCGTCTGTCCGTCCCTGTGTTCGTCCATCCGTCCGTGCGTCCCTACGTCCATGTGTCTGCTCGTGCGTCCGTCAACCAGTTTTTATGCCTGTCATTATTATGTTAATGGGGGATTTAAAATCGATGTTTTAAGACCTAAAAGCCTATTAAGTCGCTCTTTACCCCCATTTTTCGATCTCTAAAAGCTGTAGAGCCCTTTAAATCGCTCTTGTATACAATGTAAAGCTCTTTAAATATTTCCATAAGTTCTAAAGCTCTTTATCCCGCTCTTTATAAGTCTTGAAGCTCTTTAAGAAGGTCTTCTATAAGTTCTAATATCTTAAGTGGCTGTTTTCAAAGGTTCAAAACCCTGGCTTCATCTCTTTTGATCTGTACAAGAGGCATTAGAAACGCTCTCTTTAACTCTCACCAAAAGACCCTCTGTATGTAACCCACCATACCCTTAAAATCCCGCTAAGTTGTCTTTTATAAATACCAGATGTTGTTAAGTCGCTCGCTTGAAGAGGGTGAAGGTGACTTACTCGAGCGCATCCCCGTGTACGATTGAGTAGTAGGGGTGACCAGCCAAGCTTAGATAACCTCATTGAAGGTTCTCCGCCCCTTACCGTGCCCCCCTATCGCGGCATCTCCCTTACCCTAGCGACTACTCCCTTGTCCCAGTGTCTCCTTTAGCGTGCCTATTCTCTCTTACCGTACCTACTCCCTTATTGTAATTGCTCCCTTCCCCTGGCTATTTCCCTTGCCCTGGCTATTCCTTTACCGTGGTTTACTCCCTTGCCCTGGCTATTCCCTTACCGTGGTTTACTCCCTTGCCCTGGCTATTCCCTTACCGTGGTTTACTCCCTTGCCCTGGCTATTCCCTTACCGTGGTTTACTCCCTTGCCCTGGCTATTCCCTTACCGTGGTTTACTCCCTTGCCCTGGCTATTCCCTTACCGTGGTTTACTCCCTTGCCCTGGCTATTCCCTAACCGTGGTTTACTCCCTTGCCCTGGCTATTCCCTTACCGCGGTTACTCCCTTGCCCTGGCTGTTCCCTTATTCCCGCATTCTCTTTCTCAAACTCTCTTACGTTTCTGTGGTTACACACGCACACACTGGTTACCTCTCTCTCTCTCTATCTCTTTTTTTTCTTTCTCACAGTGAGTCAGTGGTGTGAGACAGTGATCACGATGGGATTTCCTGTTCCTGTAAGAGTTGTCATCCTACCTGCGGCCCCTTGTAAAGACTAATCCTAAAGGAGATTAAGTGTATAGTAGTTTTTTTTTCGTGAACTAAGAGCCTCAACTGGTCACTAGATTTTAATCCCTTCCTCAATATGTTGGCATCATGAGAAGATAGACACCCCAGGCCTATTTCATTTTAAAATTAACTACCCTATAAAGGTAACTTAACTTAACCCAATCTAACTTAACCTAAACCCATTCTTACTTAACCTAACCTAACATCATCTGACCTAATCCCCCCCCCACCCCCCAGGTAGCATTATGGTGTTTAATCATCAGGTGAAATCAGCTGTGGTGATACCTACAGTAGTCTTCGTGTGATTGGAGTATAAGGCGCGGTACGAACGCTAGTGGTGTAATGGTCTTTAAAATTAGCACAATGAAGAATTTGCCGTTGGTGGAGATTATTGTGTCACCAACACTGTATCCTTGTGGGCCCCTCGGAATAAGACAAGGTACGTTAGCCTCAAACATGACAGTAAACCAGATATAACTTAGTGCGTCGGATGTTGGCAGTTCGTGTCCAGGCTGGAGATGTACTGTATACAGTACTTCACTCTCGTCTATAAAGATGTTCAACCAAAAACTAAATTCCCCCCCCCCTCTCTCTCTCTGCCTTCATCTTTACTGGTATAAGACCACCACCCTGAGCCTTCAGAAAATTCCTAACTTGATATCTGACCTCTCTAATTCGTGATATATAATTGGTAAATGCTTTCCTCCACTGTTAATCTGTTGTTCTTGCTCATCTTTTCCTAACCCTACACACTTTCCTGAGTAGTTTTGGAGTTTGTGTGTCAATTTTACTTCCATTCACTATAAATCAGTGTTGGTCCTGGTCCTCCCAATACACATGGGAGTTCTTCAAAGGTAGTTTTACCAGGTTGACTGCATTTCGTTGTCTACTTGTCCTGGACGTCTATATATTCCATCTATTACTCCTGTGTTATATTGCTGTCATTGGGGTAGGATTTATGAACATATTGAACATCATGTAATTAGTTTTGATTAAGTTCTTGTTAATCTTTGCCGTTTTACTCATCTCATTTATCTATTGAGTTTGTGTCAGGATGTGATGTAATAATAGATGTATTAGTCTAATTCACCAACTTGGGTTAACTTCTAAGTGTACACTGTCATACACCAAACACTGCAAATACGATACATCAAAAAATGAAAGTGATTTGGGTAGACTATTGATATTTAGACCTGCCTTATAAACTGTTAAGACTATCTGTAAATATGTCTTCTAATAAACAATAAATAGCTTTTAGTAGAACAAACATCACCTTGTCACACTCCTCCGTGGATCTGAACTTTATTTCCTCCAGTGATGTAGTCGAGACCACAAACACCACCATTTGCAATTCTAGTTTTTACGGATCATCTGAAACTTCACCTCCAAAGACTATCTGTAGGAGCTCTTCCTCAGATTTTCCATAAGGGATAAAATGGTCAACTACATCATCAATTTCCTCTTATTTTGTTATCACTGTAAGTCTTCTAAATATCTTAGTTCCTCAAGTGATTTAATACAAGACATATCACTTAGTAAATCAAAAACCTTTCCGTGATAATTGATGAACACCAAACATGACAATACAGGTACTGTATTTTAATTCAAAATAATCCCTGCTTCTTTTTTCACTTGGTTCAAGTTGATTTTGATTGGCATTTTTGCTAAGTACAGTAAAATATATGGTAAAAATTTACAACTGGTGAAAACTAATAGATATGGAGTCGATACGGTTTTTAAACCAAATTTGCATCAATAACATTGTCACAGCCTCCTGGTATTCACACATGTATACAGGTACTGTGCTCTATAAAAGGTGTACAGTATTTATATAAAGCTTACATTTACATGATCATGTTTGACGTAATTCCTTATTCCAAATTACAGTACAGTACAGTACTGATGATATTTTCAAAATGTGTATGCAATAACTTCATATTAATTCAACATACTGTACCTGACAAACACATATGTGGGATATAAAAAGGATACAAGAAAAATCATATATATCGTATATAGATGGTATATTTAAATTTGTAACACTGTCCTATATAAATGACTTCAAATAATAAAGTACATTGATAAATTCTGCATAAAAACAATTTTCAATTAAATCGAATAACATTTTTTGACTTATAAGTAAGAAATGGCAAATCTTATAAAACTTAATTTTAACAATTTTGATAAAGGCAAATGAAGTCAAAGTTTTTTCAAAAAAAAATAATTTTGGCCTCATTGGCTCCTGTCGCTCAGAAAATTTCCTTTCAGAAAATTTAGTTCAGAACAAAAAACAAGTTTTTTAAAAAATATTCCTGTAACAGTTTCTAAAAGGCTTCGAGCTGAGAAAAAATTCACAATAGACACAAAAAGGCAATAATAATATCAATAATAATAATAATAATGATTTTGAACTTACATTATAAAAACAGGCCAAAAATTTGTACATTCATTATAAACACGTGGCGAGGAATAACTTCACCCAATATGGAACTGATGTGCTCTTGTATAGTCCTATGTACAATACTACCAAATCTCAGACATATCAACTAACGCTACCATGAAAATGTGAAAAAATATACTCCCCTTTCAGTATGAACCGTGCACATCAGCTCATATTGTTGATAATATATATAGCAAAGCATATGTGAAAAAATCTGTAAAAAGTACAAAGAACTACTATATACATTGCTATGATCATTTGCATGTTTGTTATGTTACGCTATGTATGTATGGGAGAGACTCGGAGAAATGTGGCCATCAAGGAACGGTTATATCAATTAAGAGGAGAGACATACCTGTATATCATCTTCACTTTTTATGTCTCTCTCTTTCAACAATAGCACAGGTGTACACCAATTTTGTCTGTTGTACTATAAAAAAAACTGTGTACATTACAGAGGCCACATTCATCCAAGTTGGGGTTCATGAAGAGAAAAAAAAAATTTGAAGTAATCCAAAGTCATTGCATTATTCCTTTCTTTTAGTGTTGAGGTATTGGCAAAAGTTTTATTTTTAAGTAAAAATTGTTTTTCCATTCTCTCACCAAAGAGCACGTGGCATCTTGCATGCATAAAAAAATTTTGCTTTTGATTTTGCTTGTATGCCTATTACTGAGGGGGGAGGGTACATACCTATTTTTCTCGCATTTTTTATTTATTTATCTATTTACCATTTTAAGTACAAAACTGAGCAATGAGAAGGAGGGGGTTCATTTACATAAAAGAAGGCCTCAAAAAAAGCAATTGGCCATGGCGTTACAAAATTCGATATATTAAAATTCACATCACTTTTGTTTTTAATGCAATCGAATATTGAACCCTCGACTAATTTTCTTGAGCATTTTTACACAGCACGTGACGTGAGTAAAAGGGATTCTGCAGCACTGACATCTAGGCTTCAATCAGGGACACGTTACAAAAAAAAAAACAAAAAACTAACTTTCCTTCCCCCAAAATAAGAAGCTAATTCTTCCCACAGCTAAGAAGTTATTTAGTCCCCTAATTATAGGCAGAGGCTTCCAGCATATATATTTATAAAAAATAAATAAAATCGTGGGTCCATTACTGTATTTTAATACATTAAGACAAGTGTCTCACAATTTTTTCTTTAATTACCTTCCAATGTTTTTCCGTTTAGAAACTTAATAATCCCGTGTTTTTTTTTTTCACAGAGACAAATGTTAACCCTTCTTGAAACATGACCTAGCGTCCAAAATCAGTAATTAACCAGCGTCACCTGCAACACACTACCTACTAAACACTACACGAGTGGGTCAGTAATGCCACCACTCCTCTATATGTCTTTTATTCGTCTGCCACTAGAAAAAACTGAGAATCAGATAAATGAGAGTTCTGCCATACACACACTGGGGGGGGGATTAGGGACAATGAATCACCGAGACTTGAGCTAGTCACTCTTGTTTCGGGAAAGGAGGGATTGGGCGAGGATATTAGGTACAGTAAGGACTGATTGGAAGGATAATCACGAGGTACTTACTCTCTAAGTCTTGGTTCATGTTATTCTATGTCTGTTTTTCTTTTGGGCAGTTGAGGCATCACATTTCAAATCAACTCAAGAATGTTTACATTAATGATCAGCCGAGACATTAAGTTTCTGGCAGTAGGAAATGCCTGATTCACCCGTCTATCACTATGTATTATTACGTATTGGTTTCCTCTACATCAGGTGAGATCAAGTACTCCTCAAGGGTTCCTCACCCAGAAATTTCTCTTAAACATTTGTACAAAAATTCCATTACTAGAAACACAAAAATGTTATAACCTTATACTCTTCTTCTAAATGCAATTTGGACTTAAAAAGGGAGTTAATTAATATTTTAAGTTCCAAATGTAACACTCAGCCCTTCTTATAATATAATCTTTTAGAAACTGTGGTGATGATTATGTGCAGATTGTATTGAGTGTGACATTCCCTACATATGTACAGTATATCTCCCCATAAATTCAGTACTATAATTCAATAATCTCTTTGTGCACCAAGACTTGAGAGAGTTTACTTCGTGACACACACGCAACAGGCATACAAATATACCGCTTTTTTGCATTGTATTCTAGGATCATGGCAAGCGATATAGATATATATACTATATATATATTTATATTAAGGAACATACAACTTGAGTTAAAGATTGATTCATCTTTATACTTAAAGAGTTAAATACACATTATTCCAGACAAACCTCACACTTGCTTTGGTATAATACCTGCAGTATTAGTAAGGGTTCATCCAATTTTAATATCTACAAAATTTATAAAAAAAAAAACAATTTCAGGTCTCTGTGAATGATCGAATCCCTTTTACATCAGATTGAGTGTGTTTTTTACACGTCACTGAAACCTAAATGTCTGCAGATTCTATTTTTTCTAATCCATAATATATTTACTTAATAAGTAGCTTTAATATTCAATTTTTTGACAATAGTAATAATAATAATAATGAGCTATGTATGAGACCTCATCGAGCCGTTGAAACAATGTGACAACCTTAAAGAGAAGTCGCTCAGGAACTGACTGACCTTCCAACATTATCAAGTGCAGCACAAGGAGAAACAAATAGGCACTCAAAATATCACACTTATACAATAAAGGCTGCTTATATCAAAGTCTTGAAAAAGGTACTTGCTCTCTCTCTCTCTCTCTCTCTCTCTCTCACACACACACACACACACACACACACACACACACACACACTCTTTCTCTCTCGTTCTCTTAATGCTCCCTTGATATCTGTTATCCTTGATATTAATTATGTACAATCTTTAAATCATTTCTTGGCTTACAACTAACTGTACAGGCGAGTGGTTTCCAACACCATCTCAACTACTAGTCTGCGATCTCCGTTGCTGGAGCTCCTCCAACTGCTTTTTCAACTTTTCCTTCTCTCTGAGTAGTCGCTGTTCGGTGTGCTGGAGTTGCTTACAATGTAGCGCAGCCTTCTTCAGGATCTGAACCTTGGGGGCCTTCTCCAGGATCATGGTGTCAGGTACAAGTTGGCGTAGGTACTCAAAGGCGTTGCGGAGGTCCACTCTTCTCTGTCTCTCCAGAGAGTTATGAACAGACCGCCTACCCTCGTCACTCTCACCACGGTTCCTCCGTCGGTGCTTTGTCGACTTTATAACCTACCGGGAGAAAGGAATTGTTTATTTATGGTCATCAACTGTACAGAAAGTAAGAAAAAATAAAGGTATTTGCACCTATAATCAAGATGTTTAATTAACTGATCAAAGGTAGAGAATAACCGTAGGAAAAGGAGTTAAAAAACTCTAGTTAGAGACAACTATGCTATTAAAGGCACAAAATGTTAAGATGGAAATTATTTTTTCCAAATGCAGTTTTGTAATAGGTTTAAGAGTAGAAAGTTGTAATAATAAGCATTGTGTATAGAGTTGTAAATGGAAATCAGTGTGGAAAGACTGTAAATACTAGAGCTTCATTTATGACAAAATATATACCATACATAATTGATCAGAAAGGGGTGGGGGCAGCTTAAAAACGAAGGCTTGAATTCTCAAAGATTGCCTTATCCACTCTTATTTTGGCTGCTAATTTTGTGCAATACTTCATACAGTACCAGCAATTGAAATGCACATCTTTGATAAAGTGACCAAAGGACAGTAATAGGCCCAGGCCTCACCTCTGAGTGGTAGTCCCTCATCCTCTTGGTGTAGGCAGCTGGCTTCCCCTGCGTCTTGATCTTCACTGACACAAATCTGTTATTGCTGCCGGACTCATCGCTGTCCGGTGACGTTGAACCTGCAGCCCGGTTCTGTCTGTTCCTCATGGCCTCCTGGATAGCCAGTTGGAGCTGTCTCTTCACGTCAACGGAGCGTTTGGACGGGAGCTGGAGACGAGAGGAGGCGGTGGTGGTGGAGGCAGAGGTGGTGATGGTAGTGGTGTTGGTGGAGGCAGTCAGGGTGGTGGTGGTGGCCAGGTCATTGCAGGACACAACGTCCACCTCATCTTCTGCAAGCAGAGAGAGGAGTCTGGTTAGTAGTGCCTAAGTGGATGCTGTACCTCTCTTTACCCCTACCTTTCTTTCTCTCTTTATCTTTACTTGTTCTTTTCTTTGTCTTTATCTGTCCCTTTCTTTGTCTTTACCTGTCCCTTTCTCTCTCTTTACCTGTCCCTTTCTTTCTGTCTTTACCTGTCCCTTTCTCTTTACCTATCCATTTTTCTCATTCTCTCCAATTCTCTTTATCTCACTTTATCTTCCCCTTTCTTTCTCTTTGTTCTCCCTTTCTCTCTTACACATGCATACTTTATTGATACATATAAACATACAGAGGCTTACACGACTTACTTTTACAAGGTTTTATAATAAAATACCGTACATATATAGTCATAAAGGAAATTCATCTACATTAACAATTGCTGTTCTTTACGCACACGCAATTTAAACCATACACAAGCATGAAAAAAGTATTGGCAAAGAAAAAACAGAAGAGAAAGAATAATGAAAGAGAGATTTCCCCTAACAACACTTAAAATAAAAGGACTATGATTTTTTTTTCTTCCAGTTGGCAAATCTCTCAAACATGACATCGAAGTCGGGTGTAACTGGATACTGTATGTCGGACTGTACTCTGAAACTCAGGTACCCGTGTTTTTTTTTGTTTTTTTTTAAGAGTTGTGGAGGGCGTGGGCACTGACACACTCCCGGCAATGATTTACTCCCGAAGTGTGGTGACGTCGACCAGATTAATGGCGCCCCGTAACGATACTTTAATACCCCTGTACGATCCCGCGGTCAACCAGGCGAGTGATTCATACGCATAGAGAACGAGAAGCGGGCAGGGTGGGAGGGGGGAGGAGGTTAAAGGCGGAAGAAAACGGAGGAAGAGGAGGGATGTGTGTGTGTATGTTCGCTGCTTACACGTAGAGTGTGCGGGCCGTTGGTATTCGAGGTATTTAATCATCAAACTTGGACCTGGCGATAATTAAACGCCTTTGTACGGTAAACTAATGTCCAGGAGGCATAAAGCTTGCAGGCTGGAGGTATGGGACGCCATCACCAGGTCACAGAAAGGGCTAACTTTAAAATAATAATAATAAAAAATTTGGTACCGCCGGGAGGAGCCTCGGAGTGGAGGGACCTTGCGCCGCGTTCCTCTCGTGCCGGGGAGCTCAGAAGCCCTCTAGTTTGGCATTCCCAGCCACTCCCTAGCGACAGCCAACGCCAGGGGGAACCTAACAGGAACCCTAGGCTCCTTCAGCGTCTTATCAGGATTTCATGCAACTCCTAGAATGTCCCTCTAGTAAGAACGTACTTGAGGGAGGAGGTGGTGGTAGGGGGGGAACATTTCTAAAAATTTGTCTCTTAGTGGATGGACTTAACTTAACGTACTGTAGATATCAATATGGTTTGGTTGAGGGGGATGAGGGGTAGATGAGAGAAAGTAAAGGGCGGGGGGGAGGGAGGGAGGAAAGAAGGGAGGGAGGGTCTTGGCACCGAATGCTATGATGGCGACACTCAGTTGGCACTCGGAGCGCCAGACAGTGCCAGTGCCAAGATGCCCGAGACGTCTCCAGGGGTCCCCACCACCCAGCGAGGGGGAAAAACTAGTCTAGAGCGGGCAGGGCAGGAAGGGGGAGGGGGAAAGGGTAGGGGGGACGGAGAGGGGTTAAATTTCTGCTGTGGTAAAGAAACGCGAAACGATTTTTTGTGCCAGGAAGGACAAGAAAAAAATATTCTGGATACAACTACAGTGAGGAGTTTAATTTCGAGTGCAGGCAGAATTTTTTCCATCACAAGATCATCGTACCCAACTAGGGAAAAAAAACGCTCCTTAAGAGAAGAAACTCGTTCAGTTAGACTAGGTGGAGGGGGAAGAGATCACCTAAGAGGCGACGGAGAAAAAACAAATCCCGTAAAAGAAGTACCGAGGACAACTATATTTATTCTTAAATTTGACAAGGAAGGAGATGTCCTCAACGTACTCATGTTCGTTCTTCCGTGACATATTACTTGTGTCGCGTTTGCATAGTGTGAACTCTAAGGGGATGTTATCTGCCGGGATCCGCCCTAAGACCTTCCTGAGGACCGGATTTATGTCCCAGGGAGGCAGGCGTGGTTCTCGGGGCTATATGCTTAATAATTTCTATAATTCTCCCTTGTTAATATTTAATTGGAATTTATATTTTTGTCAAGGTTTAGGGGACACACACATAATTATAGTCATTGTGATTCATTAGTGTTATTGTTGGAGCACTTTAGTTACCGAGCCACGGATGATTTACAAAGGGGAGGTTTAAGTAATTTACAGTTTGCCATAAATATCCCCGTCATTTTAAGCTATTTACCAGTTACATTGTAAGTTATATGATGAGTCAATTCACGCATGGCACGGATTATAAAACAAATTATCTTTTCTATTACTATTTGTTAAATAAATTCAATTACTAACAAGGGCATTCTAACTAGTAAAGCCACTCCGTAATTACCACTAATATAATCCTTATACCATACAAACGTAAGACTAAGCCATGGACCTCCATACGCTCCTGCCTGTCAACATGGAAGGACAAACTTAACTAATTTGTAAACATACTTTGGGTTCGTAAACTCCCCCTCCCCCCCCCCCTATGTTTGACCCAAAGTCGTTAAAGCTATCAAATAATTCTAGTAGTATTTCCTTATCTATTATGTATATTACCTTTTTTTTTATATAATAAGGTTGTCTTTAGCTCTGAGTACGTTTAGGCAATGAACCCCCCCCGTATTCATGAGATATATTTAGCTATTTATTTACACACTTTGTATCTGAAGTGTACTACCCACTACTTTGGGTTTACATTTTTTTATTTATCTTAGTAATCGTAAGTTATTTTTATACATTTCTTCCTGGCTACATTCTACTAAGCTACGTTATTTGCATTTTTTTAATTGAAACGCCCCATCTCTCTCTCTCTCTCTCTCTCTCTCGTAATTTAAAGGATCAAACACCCTTTTAATCATCCTTTCTTTATAAATCCTATTAACTGACCTTTTTGTTTTGTATGTCAGTCGAGGAGTTCCTAGTTTTTCTTCACAAATCTTCTGTACGTATAGTTTGGCTAGACTTTTTTCTTTACTTAGTTGGGTGCGCTTTTTAGTATTTATTTAGCTATTGTTTTGCTTATTTAGTTTGAATGCGCCTTTTTTCCCCCGACAATTACCCAGCTACGTAGTGGTAATGACTGCCAGTGACAACAAACCAAACTACAGGTCACCAACTATTTATGTTTTAACAAATTTATTGGCAAAGCTTGTAGTACAGTTTGCCTATTCTGAGTAATTCAGTCAGGTCTTGACACTGAGGGTGGTATCACTCACTTCTCACTGCCACGCAGGACAGAGGTTCATACACAAAGAAATACATCATATTCATTTACAGCTATATATGTATAGAGGTCAGATTCATGTGGGTAATGTCACTGTTCACTGCCATGCAGGACAGAGGTTCGTACACAAAGAAATGCATCATATTCATTAACAGTATACGTGTATATAGGTCAGATTCATGTTGCCAATGTCACCAACTAGGGCTTAAACGTGCATACTAATTTTAGAGAGTGCAAACATTCCCTGTTAATTCCTGTACAAACGAGCAATTTTTTTTAGTCCATTATTCTTTTATTCTTAGTTATTCAATTTATCCGCCAAATCTTATTACATTTTTACTACGAACATAACAAAATCAACTAAACCAAAACAACCAAACCAAAACCAGCCAACCAACTCTCCCTACAACCGACCACAACATCAAAACACGAGCACATAAACAAACCCTAAGAGCAGACCCGGGGTGAACTACCACCAACACACCACGGAGGGAAAAAAAAAACATTAATTTTTCCCCAGAACTCGTTAACTCTAAGGGTGGAGATGAGGGAGAGGGTGATGGGGGAGAAGGTGGTGGTGGTGGTGGTGGAGATGAGGGAGGGGGATGGTCGTGGAGATGAGGGAGGGAGAGGGTGGGAGTGGAGATGAGAGAGGGTAGTGGAGATGGGAGAAGGAAGGAAAAGAGGAGGAAAAATTGGGGGGGGAGGGAGTAGAATGAGTGGCGTGAGGGAGTAGAGATATGATAGTCTAATAAAATTGCCTTGATTTCTGTCTATAAATAACATCACATTTATAAACCAATATTTTACAGAAGTTACTGGAATGCCTAGTTAAAAATACAGAGGACAACTACATGGTATTCTTCACTGTTTAAATTGCGATCGAGTGAAATGGAGAGCTTCCTGACAGTAAAAAAAAAAGTGGAGGGCAGGCGAAACGGTGGAGAGTATGAAACCAGCGAGCGCCCAGTTTGTGAAAAGGTGGAGCTGAAAGGGATATGAAACGACCAGCTTGTCAGAAAGTGGAATGCAGGCGAAACGGGAACTAATCTGTGAAAATGTGTGTGTGGACAGCCGACACAGCGTCCTCGTCTGTGAAAAGGCGGAGCAATAGAAGAAACAGCAAAAGCTACTAAGCAGGGGGAAAGAGTAACCAAAACAGCGTCCCCCCTCCCGTCTCGTCTGAAGAAGAGGTGGAGCAAAAACGAAAATCCCCGTAGTGATGCCCGGCGTTCTTTTCGCCAGACCTGAAATTGCCTGCATTCCTCAAGTCTTCCTTTTTGGTATCTCCCCTAAGCTGGAGTGTAATTATACCTTCTCATTTGGCAGACCAGTACCCGGCAGCCCTCTCCCGCCTCCCCCCTCCCCCTCCTCCCAGCTATCCCTTGGCCATACTGCTACCGTCAGCGTTCGTAAATGGTTACATATAAAAAAAAAGACATTTTAGCTACCCTCCTTATCGATTATCTTCCCTTGAAGTTTACTTTTGATGATTTTTACGTAAAATGTCCCCCCCATCTTCCCACCTCCTAAAAATCAGTAGTGTTTCTGGTTAGTATTCGATTGTATGGTGATGTAACTCAAGTGACCCATCCTTCCCTGACAAAACTTTTCTCTCAGTCGAAATAGAAAAGAAATTTGTT